GTGGGAGGGAACTCTTTCATTGTAAACTATGGTCAATGACATGAGACAAAGTATATGTGAACTGCTGTATGGAAAGTGAATTCGCTCTGTAAATCTTCACCCAAATCACAATAAATAAAATAAAATAAATAATAATAAAAAAAAATCTTTACAGAAGTAGATTGCTTCATCTTCCTTCCACAGCGCATCTGGTGGGTTCGAACAGCCAAACTTCTGGTTAGCCATCAAATGCCTTAGGTACTGCACCACCAGAGTTCCTTAAAAAGAGATGAATAGATTTTAAAAAGATAAAGGTGGTGAGAAAGCTTCAAATTGTTTTATAAGTTTCAAAGATCTAGGGATGTTTACATTTGAAGTGTATAAACATAGATTTTGGAGTGAAAGTTAGCAAGACCTATTGATGACAGATGGATAAATGGATGGAGAGATGGATAAGCAGATGGACAGCTGAATGAATAGATAAATATATAGATGAATGGATAGGTGATAGAAGGATAGACAGCTGGGTAGACTGACAGACAGGTAGATTCTATACATTCCATTTGCCATGCCCTCTGCTGAGTATGTATATTACATGCTCTCATTCTACAAACAAACATTTGAAGTTAATGCTATATCCACACAGAAACTGGTAAATATGAGGCACAGAGAAATTAAGTCATCTACCCGCTGACTCCCTAGTTTGTGGTCTTGGCCTCCAGTTTATAAACTTGTGTGATATCCATGGAATTGCCCTGCTCAAATCTCTCTTAAAGAAAGAACTCACTGGTCAGTTACAAGGAGCCAAGTTAGCTGACAGCCTCCAGCTGTTAATGCCCACAGAATCTGCTTAGTATTCAATTGGAGACTGTGCTGTTTCTGAAAGAGTTTCAAACTAGTTCATTTTAGTTTGACCTCCTGGTGAGGATTTGCATTTCCATCTCTGATATACTGAATCAGAAACTACATTTTAACCTGGGGATCTATAAGGATCACCTGAGAATCTCATAAAAGACCCTTGTTGAGTTGCCAAGGACTTTGTCAGATATGTTGCAGTTGAAGGCTCTCCCTGCCTAATGCTGCCTCTTCCTCACTTTCTTTCACAAGTGTCACAATTGTAACTCAGTCTAAAGGCTTTCCCTGCCAATCTTGTCTCATCTTTCCTTTTATCTTTCACAGAGTTGTGAATGTTGTTGTTAGGTGCCATCAGGTTGGTTCCAGAACTCAAAGAGACTCTGTGTACAACAGAAGGAAATGCTGCCCAGTCCTGTGCCATCCTCACAATCCTTGCTATGCTTGAGCCCATCATTACAGCCACTGTGTCGATCCATATCATTGAGGGTCTTCCCTTTCTTCACTAATCCTCCACTTTACCCAGCATGATATCCTTCTCCAGGGAATGGTCTCTTCTGACAACATGGCCAAAGTAGGTGAGATGAAGTCTGGCCATTCTTGCTTCCAAGGAGCATTCCAGCTTCACTTCTTCCAGAACAGATTTATTCATTCTTCTGGAAGTCCATCATATTTTCAGTATACTTTGCCAAGACCACAAATCAAAAGCATTAATTCCTCTTCAGTCTTCCTTATTCATTGTCCAGCTTTCACATGCATATGAGGAAGTTGAAAATACCATGGCTTGGGTCAAGTGACCTTAGTCTTCAAAGTGACATCCTTGCTTCTTAACACTTTAAAGAGGCATTTTGCAGCAGGTTTGCCCAGTGTAATATGATGTCTAATTTACTGACTGCTGCTTCCATGGGTGTTGAGTGTGGATCCAAGTAAAATGAAATCTTTGACAACTTCAATCTTTTCTGTTTATCATGATGTTGTTTATTAGTCCAGTTGTTAGGATTTTTATTCTCTTTATGTTATAGTGTAATCCATACTGAATACTGTAATCTTTGATCTTCTCAGTAAATGCTTCAAGTCATCTTCATTTTCAGCAAGCATGGCTGTGTCATCTGCATATTGCAGGTTGTTAATTGTTCTTCCTTCAATCCTGATGCTGCGCTCTTCTTCATAGAGTCTAGCTTCTCAGATTATTGCTCAGCATACAGATTGAATAAATATGGTGAAAGGATATAATCCTGACGTATACCCTTCCTGGTTTTAAACCATGCAGTATCCGCTTGTTCTGTTCAAACAACAACCTCTTGCTCTATGTATAAGTTCCTCATGTTCACAATTAACGGTTTTGGATTCCCATTCTTCACAATGTTATCCATAATTTGTTATGATCCACATAGTTGAATACCTTGCATAGTCAATAAAATACAGGTATACATCTTTCTGGTAGTCTTTGCTTTCAGCTAAAATCCATCTGAAGGCACTAAACTAGACTCCTTGAACCGTTTAACCTATTTTGAATAGACCTTCTCTTATTCCAACCATCATATCAGCATCTGGTTCTGGGAGGACTCAACTGATACACAAGACCTTTAAATACTTGTAGTGGTCAAATATAATATGGAAGTGAGAATGGCCAGACTTTTTCTCATCTACTTTGGTCATGTTGTCAGAAGGGACCATTCCCTGGAGAAGGATATCATGTTTGGTAACATGAAGGGTCAGCAAAAAATGAGAAGACCCTCAACAAGATGGATTGACACAGTGGCTACAATGATGGGCTAGGGGAAAAGCAAGGATTGTGAGGTTGGCACAGGAACGGGCAGTGTTTTGTTCTATTGTGTGTAGGGTTGCTATGAGTTGGGGCCAACTCGATGGCACCTAACAACAACAATATTAAAGAGCATTTACAATTGTTTTATATGGTTATAAGGGGTTGAATTAGGACAAAGTCACTAAACTTTTTTACAGAAGTATCTTCATATGCATAAGGAAGAACTTTCTAATAGCTAGAGCTGCCCAGCTATGGAGTGGGCTACCTCAAGATAGTTGAGGCCATTCAGGTCAATGAAAAACTCCTTGTTGAGTGAGGTCACATGACATTGCCTCAACCCCCACTCTCATACATATGTGAGCATCTACGATGATGTTGTTGTTGTTGTTATGTGCCATCGAGTCGGACCTGACTCATAGCGACCCCTCTTTGAGTTTCCAAGACAGTAAGTATCACTACGGAAGTAGATTGCCCAACCTTCCTTCTGAGGAGTGGCTGGTGGGTTTGAACTGCCAGACTTCTGGTTAGCAATCAAGTGCCTTAGGCACTATGCTACCAGAGCTCCTATCTATGATGATCAACATCCACAATGTTACTTGAGTAACAAAAATAAAATCATTTTGGAAGCCACACCAGGAAAAACTAACCTCTGATTTTCAGTGGTGTCTAGTTTAATACATCCATATTTTCCCACTCCCAGTGTAGCCCTAGGTACCTAGAGCAGATAGGCCACTGACCATGTTTGTTGAGTTGTTTTTTTTTTTTTTTAATCACAGAGCTCACAGCAAGTTAGCTAAGGCTGTGCACTCACAGTCCTCATGGGCTATTTGGCAAAATCAAATCCAAACTGCACATGTGCTTAAGTTGAACAGTCTATGTTATCTGGGAGTTTAACATGGGTTTCAACATCTGATATAGCTCTAATCACTCCTTTCAATGCCATGTAATGTTCAAGCTTAATATGTGCATACTATAGCCAAAAAGGCTGTCTTTCTTAAAGCTATATTCTCTCTACCCTCATCAAGACCCAGGCATATCAATGAGGAACATACACTGCCCCCTTCCAGAATTTTCATGATAGCTAAATAACATAAGTAATCATATTTTTCAGATGCTAAAATAAAAGGTGGGAAAGTTTGGTAGAAGAAAAAAAAGACAGTAATCTAATCCACATAAAGAGCCATATATAAAGAGTCATTCATTAGATCTACAAATATTTACTGAACACTTACCAAGGGCTAGACTCTCTGCAGGGAGCTGGGGATACAATGCTGTGCTTGACACAGTCCCTAATTTCATTCAAATGCCATTGAGATCATCTTCTGACCCTTCAAGAGGGAAGCAATCAAAGCTACAATCACTGGTAGTAATCCCAGGGAGTGTTTAGGATCCTCGAAACTGATATCTTTTCCCTCTCCCCCCACCCTCAACTTCCTGTAGCATCCCTGGCATTTACAGTCTGTATTTTCAAGAAATATTTTATTATATTAATAGTGCTTTGTAGCAAATTCATAAATTTTGCAAGAGGTGGTTAAAACAAAAAGCCAGCTCAGCAATTTTGGGGGGCTTTTACAAGTGATAATACAGCTGACCTACTGAAGACAAAGGCAGTGGGAGGACCTTTATTGGTGCAAATAAATAGGAGTCTCTGGGGCTAAGAACCCACAGCTTGGACTCAGAGCTGAAGTCTGAACTCCACCTCCAGGCAGAATGAGATTCACTTCCACATCTCTGCTTCTCCTGCTGCTGGCCATCAGCACGTCTCCAGTCCAAGGTAAGAACTTCCACTTAACTTTTCATTGTCCTTTGAACAGAAAGGACCTTCAGCCATTTTTTTTTTCACAATTGAAAAAATGAGTGGAATATGACAAAAATGGGGAAAGCACTTCTCAGCTAATCCTAAATTTCTAACAGAGGGGTGTTCTCTAAAAATTAAGTGCTTAGGGATTTAACTCTAAGAGGCTGGAAGCATTTGTAATGTTAAGATCTTTATCCATGGAAGGAAGAAATACTGGAAATCCAATGTCATATGAACCACTGTAAGTACACCAGGGATATACAGATGTATATACATTCTTCAAAGCAGATTTTCAAGAATAAATGGAAGGGCTATCTTGTGTAAGAAGATAAATACCTGGTTGAAATGGTAAGTTTTTATACAGTTGAAGGAATCACACACACACACACAGAATGAAATACTCTATTCAGGTTTAGAGGACAAATTTTGTTCCCAAAATGCAGAATTTTTTTTTTTCAATTTTTATTTTGATTCACATGTTACTTTCACTCTTCAAGACCCTTATTTCTCTCCTCCTCCTCCAAGAAGCTTTTCCATGGCTCCTGGATAATTTAACTATTATTTAAATCCTCTGTTCCTGGTATGCAGTTTAGACTTTAGGTGTAATACAAACTTTCTTAGTATTTTAGTTTTTGTTTACTTGTTTGTTTTCCTCACTAAATTGTAAACACCTTGAAAGTTGGACCCTTTCATTTGTAAATACATGTCAATCATAGAAGTCTGCAATGGGGATAGAGATTTCAATAAATGTTAAATAAATTTGCTGTTGTTATTTGCTGTCGAGTTGAACCCCACTCATAGCAACCCCTCCTTGGGTTTCCAAGGCGGTATCACTACGGAAGTAGATTGTCTAACCTTCCTTCCGAGGAGTGGCTGATGGATTTGTACCACCAGGCTTCTGGTTAGCAGTCAAGTGCCTTAGGGACTATGCTACCAGAGCTCTTTAAATATACTTAGTGCTCATTAAAAGGCAAAAGAGGTTTTTTATAAAAGTGTCCAGTACTGATAGCTTTTGAATTTTTATTATTAGCTTTTGTTGGATCATGTTTCACAATTGTACTGGAGGACCAACTTATTAAACAAAAACAATTAAGTCTTTTGCATTGTTTCTCCAAATAGAAAGTCAAAGAATATGATAGGAGAAAGAATGCAGTTGCAGCCTGTTATTGCTCTTAGGACTTTTACCAGTTCATATCCTTGGTTTTTATGTTGCTTGTAAGTGAAGATCAGTTTATTCTCTTTTGCATTAATTATAACTCGGTTGTAAATCACCCCATAATGGTCTTCAAACTTAATTTTACTGACAGTCTCTTGAGTACAAGAATAAATGCTACCACGAGTTTCAATAAGTGCTTTGTTTTTTAAAAGGTGATTTTATAGTTAAGGTTGTGATAGAAAAAGTTGGAAACTAATCAAGCCAAGACAAGCAGAAATACACACCAAGATAAAGGCATACGGGTGAAAGTATGGACTTTACCTTTAAAATTTTCAACTAATTTAAACTTTAAATCTGAAAATCTTCAATTGCACAATATGAAAGGTTAGTTAATTAAGTTCTAGTTGTGAATTATATGCCAAAGGGACTAAAATAAGTGATGATGTTTACAGGTTTTCTGGAGGCCAATTACACAACCTTAAAGTGTAACTGCATGCAAGAGACCTCATCTTTTATCCCCTTTCACCTTATTCAGCGGTTTCAAATCTTCCCTCCTGGAAGTGGCTGCCCAAATGTAGAAGTCATGTAAGTTGCAAGAAAAAAAAAAAAAAAAGTATGTGTGTGTGTGTGTGTGTGTGTGTGAGATTCCTTTCTCCAATGAAAATCAGACATGTTGTCATGCAGTATTCTTACTCAACACTTTCAAGGTGATTTATTTGGACTATTGTTATAAATTCTTAAGCTAATAACAATGTTGTTAGGTGTCATCAAGTCCATTCCCAACATACCCCAAAAAAACCAAACCCACTGCCATTGATTCGATTCTGACTGATAGCGACCCCCATCGGGTTCCCAAGGCTGTGAATCTGAGGGAAGTAGATTGCCTCATCTTCCTTCCATGGAGCAGCTGGTGTGTTCTAACTGCCTACGTTTTGGTTAGCAGCCCAATGCCTTGACCACAGTGCCACCAGAGCCCCAACTTAGGTACCATTTATTGAGTACTTATTTTGCAGCAGCCACTGAGTTAAGTGCTCTGCATGCATTCACTCATTTAATTCTTTCAACACCATATGAAGGGATAGCTATTGATATCACCCTTTTACAGATGTGAAAACTGAGGCTTAGGGAGGTAAATGAACAGCCTGAGGCACATCTCTATAAAGGGATGTAGCCAAGGTTTTCCCCATGTCTTCCTACTCCAAAACCTCTCCAACCCCCAAATTAGATTGACAACAGCAGCAGACATTTCACTCCCCAGTGAGCTGAAGAGCAAATACTAAGTATCCAGAATAGTGGCTGGTCTGAATGATTATTTTATGGATCTTTCCTTTAACTTCAGATTCTATCAAACTTTGATCCCATAAGTAATTAAAGATTAGGCTAAGGAGACATTAGTGGTTGCAAGAAATTTAATAGCTATTTCCTTCTCATGAAATGGTGCGATTCTCCCTTTTCTATGCTCCTACAGCCATCTGTGGGCACCTTTACTATAGCATTTCCTACACTGCATTCTGGTGCAGTGCCTGGCATAAGAGTAGATGTTCAGTGAATGTGAGCTGCAATTATTACAGCATTGTTATGCTGAAACAACCAGGTTTTCTTTGTTTTGTTTTGTCTTTATAACCTCCACCAGAAAATAAGTTCTTTAAAGATGAAGATAAGGTATTTCTCGTTTTTCTCTTTTCAGTACTTTATCCCATTCCAGGCATATAGTAGAAGCTCAAAAAATGTTGGATTATTGCACTGAATATGTTAAATGGAGCCGAGACAGCTTTTTCATGTAACTAGTTAGACCTTTGATTTCTCTTTCCTGGACTGATCTTTAATGAACAGCACCCCAACACTTCACAGTATTAGACACAGCATGTTCCCTAGGGCATCCCTGACTTGGCCTTTGTTAGCAGTCCTTCCCTTGAACTTCTTTAGATTTTGCGGATGTTCGTAAGCAACTGCCTTTTGTTTGTCCCATTCAATCCTAATCTTTGAGTTCAGACTATTTGTATCCAACTCATAAAAAAGAAAAATGGGATATCAGAGATGCATATGAAAATTTTTCATGAAAAAAGCATTACACTTTCATTAATGTATTTTTTAATGTATTTAAATTAATGTATTTTTTTGAAAAAATGAAAATTCTTAGAAGGAAGGTTGGGCATTCCTACTTCCGTAGTGATACTGCCTCGGAAACCCAAGGAGGGGTCGCTATGAGTCGGGGCCGACTCGATGGCAAACAACAACAACAACAACAAAGCACAATGATTGCCCTCAAACTCAGAAATGCAAAGGTTTGACCATTTGAGAGCAGTTCTTCATGATGTGAAGATAACTCAGGATCCTTCTAGTGGATTACATTTTGTCTCTGTGACTCAAACCTCTTCCCTCTCAACCAAAAGAGACAGTGCACCCTCATTTTCTCCATTTAACTTCAACATTTTTGAAGTAACATATATTTGGTTTGATATCTTCTCACCAAATTCTGCATTTCTGAATTTTAACTAAAGAAACAACTAGTACCAGTCACGGGTGAAAATATTGAGTCTAGATAGTCAGAAAATCTGTTTACCATCATGAATTCAGAAACCAAACAGGAAGCCTCTGCCCAACACCCCAACTGTTCTATGACCTCTGTCTTCTCTAAACATGACTTACAAGGGTGGAGTTTCAAAGCTAGATGGATAGATCCTTGTCATTTTATTGCTAAGGGCATTGAAACACCAAGAGACTGTGTTTTCCTTAAAAGTCACCACAGTAGAATCAAGTTTCATATGGGCTTCTATTGCAAGTGTACCACCAGACAAAACACTTAACACCATGCTTGGCATTTGGTAATCATTTAGGTCATGCAGATGTAAAGTGGTGGCTAAAATTGTGGGTCTGGGAGATAACATTCATTTGTATCCTGCTCTATCATGTATTTGTTATACAATCTAAGGCAAGTTAAACTCTCTAAGTCTCAGATTCCTCATCTAAAAGTGAGGACATAATAGTTCCTCTAGCAATGTTTTTGTGAAATTAATCCATAAAATTATCCATAATACCTGCTCAGTGTAGTCCCTGGCACACAGTAAGTACTTGATAAATACTAGCTATTAATCATTATTGTTGTTTTTGCTATTAATAATTTCTTAAGAGTAGTAAAAGCCTTGGTACCTGGTGGTTCAACAAAATGTAGATGTCACCCAGAGCAATGGGCCCTGTAACCTCTCACACATTAAACTTTATTGAATTGTTTTCAAATAAAGAGTCCTCAAGAGAGTCCTTTCTGTAATCTATTTTGTCTCCCAAGCTCAATGGACAATAGTTTTTTGTTTTTTGTTTTTTTTTCAAGATATTGTGATATAACTTTAGTAGGGAACCAAACTTGGAGCCAAGCTATTTGGCCCATCTCCAACTCAGGTAAATTTTATCCACAGAATACTAATATCTGAAATGTGAAATTCTGTCATCTTTGTAGCATAGTGGCTAAGGCACTTGACTGCTTACCAAAAGGCTGGCGGTTCAAACCCACCAGCCACTCCTCGGAAGGAAGATGGGGCAATCTATTTCCATAGTGATACTGCCTCGGAAACCCAAGGAGGGGTCGCTATGAGTCAGGTCCGACTCGACGGCACATAACAACAACAGCTCACATATATGGTTCTTCAATGGTGTATTTTTTTTTTTCTATTCCTCAGACCTTATGCTACAAATCACCTGTCTACATCTAAAACAACCTCATTCCAATTTCACTTTACTTGACAATAATTACTTTCTTACATAACTCTTTCTTTTATTAAAAGTATGGGATTGACTAAAATGTAGCACTGCTTGATTTTTATTTCTGTTTGTTTTTCCTGTAGAATCTGGTTGAAGACTAACACTATTATATGCTTGAACCCTCGGGCCAAATGGTTCCAAAAATTCTTGAAGGGGTTACAGAGGTAAACTGACAATATGGAAGGGCTTTCAGATTCAATGTGTGCTGAGGGTTTCCCTTTCCTGGGTCAGTCAAAATGGGGACCATTTTAAATGTATCAGGAGTTTCTAAGACAAATACCTATCTTGCATTATTATTATTTATCAGATAGAGTGGGGTGACTCATGCCAGCAGTTCATAAAAGTAAACTGAAAAGCAATGTGCACAATATTCCTAGTTTGGTTTCTCCAGGGAAAATCCACAGTTTCTGGTTGATCTTTCTCTTAACATGACTTTTTATTTGTTTTTGTTTCACAGAGAGCATGGCTCCTTAATCTCACCAACTCCAGGGCTTAAGAAACGGCGGATCGCTTGATGCCAGTATTCCCATTGAGAACATCAGCATCCTGCCTTATTCCTGCTTTGGATTTTAATTCTGTACTTGTTTGTATTGTTTCCAATAAAAAGAATTTCCTCATACAAATGTGTAAGAATATATGTAAAAATACCCTGCAGAAGTTGGTGGGGAATGCTGGGAGTTCACATTTTTATTTATCAGAGAGGAAAGTTGCTCTAAGCATATTCATTTAGTTATAAACCATGCCGGCTTCTTTTGATTATGCGCTTGATGTTTAATGCACATTTTTTCCTAGAAAATAAGGGAACTATCATTTAAACCTCAAATCTGAACACATGGGTTGGATTGATAAGGAAATGATGCATGCTTTTCAATCATTTTGCACCGAGAAAAGTGGATTTCCTTCAGAGACTAGAAAGTTATCTGAAAAACTCATGGAAGTTCAACCTAACAAAAGGCAGGTAAATATTCTGTTAAAAAAACTCACTATTGAGAGAAATGGGTCCTTTTTCCACTTCCGAAGAGTTTCACTGTATAAGATATATTGTTTTAGGATTATTTAGACAAACAGAGCTACTGAGAGAGATAGACAGATACATACATGCTTACATATGCAGAGTGAGAGAGATACCATGCAATGGGAGTTTGAATAGGTGTGCTAACAAGTTCAAAATCAGTAGGTCAGGCAACCAGAGGGAATTCCTGCAGGTTTATGTCCCAGGAGCTGTGACTCAGAAGATAGGAGGAGTGAAGAGTGAGAGAATAGTGGCAAAATGTCTATTTCTGGCCTAGAGATAGAATAGGAGCTCTGGTAGCATAGTGCCTAAGGCACTTGCCTGCTAACCAGAAGGCTGGAGGTTCAAACCCACCAGTCACTCCTTGGAAGGAAGATGGGGCAATCTACTTCTGTAGTGATACTGCCTCAGAAACCCAAGGAGGGGTTGCTATAAGTCAGGTCTGACTCGATGACACATAACAACAACAACAACAACAGAGGTAGAATACATCTTAGGAAAAACTTCCTTTTTGCTTTTAAAATGTTCAACTGATTATGCCACTCAGACTTAGAGTCATCAAAAACCCAGAAGAAGTATTTAAAGGATGATATTCATATTATACACTTTCTTGGCAAACTTCTATTACTCATATTTTCTGCACAGACTTTTTTTGAGGGGCAGGTGTCTCTTGCACAAAATTCTTTAATATACCCTATTAATCTAATTGGCACAGTACCTAAAGCATTTGGCTGCTAACCAGAAGATTGGTGGTTCAAATCCACCAGTCTCTCCATGGAAGGAAGACAGGGCAATCTACTTCCATAAAGATTTACCACCTCAGAAACCCAATGGGAGCTCTGGTAGCACAGTGCCTAAGGCACTTGACTGCTAACCAGAAGGCTGGCGGTTCAAACCCACCAGCCACTCCCCGGAAGGAAGGTTGGGCAATCTACTTCCATAGTGATACTGCCTCGGAAACCCAAGGAGGGGTCGCTATGGGTCGGGTCCGACTCCATGGCAATGGTTGCATTTTTTTTTGCAAACCCAATGGGGATCACTGAGTCAGAATCGACTCAATGGCAGTGAGTTTGGATTTTGGTTTTGGTTTTTAATCTAATTCTATTTGTAAACTCAAGCGAATATTTTACTTAATTATGAGAGATTTGCAGTTAGCTGAGTATTTTCTCAAATTTAAATGTCCTCTGGTTCATCATAATGACAAATAAGGTTTCATCATATTAACTTTCCTTCTTATGTAGCTTTCCTTTTACAGATAATCTAAAATTATATGACAATGAGTGAATGGTTTTATTCCTAATATTAGCACAATGGGAAAATGCTTGACTATGAAAAGCTCTTTCCACTCACATACTGTGATTTCTATAGACTTTCAAACTCCTACTAAAACCTATTTCCACTGTCAAATTATATTGATTCTTAGTCTCTCATATTTGACAAAGATTTGGATTTGGCATCAAGTCTGTCTCCCCCTCCACCCATGTTGAGCTCCACTGCCTGTTTGTACCTTCTGCTCAGCTAGCTGCCCTGCAAGATCTGCTCCCAGCACCCTCTCTTTGTTTCTCAGCTGTATCTTCCTCTTTCTTTCGTTTTCCTTTTTATTTTTGGATTTATCCTTATTATTATTATATGTCTTAGATGGGAGTGAAAAGTATCTACAGATACTAATTTTCTGTTGTCTATAATTTAACATTAACTTCTTTATTACAAATACACCAAAAGAGAACATATAAAATGCCATCAAAATCCTGCTTTCTAGAGGTTTACAGACTTCAAGTGGAAATTTTTAGCAATTAGGAATCATTTCATGATTTAATTCCAGTCTTCGAGAATGTAGTTAGACAAATGCTACTGAGAAGCCTTGAATAAAAATTACTACCACTCCATATTAGAGAGTCCTGGTGGCACAATGGCCAAGTGCTTGGCTGCTAACTGAAAGATCAGCGGTTCGAACCCACCAGTCACTCCAAGGGAGAGAAAACCTGATGATATGCCCAGTAAAGATTACAGTTTAGGAAACCCCATGGGGCAGCTCACCTTTGTCCAGTTGCATTGCTATGAGTCAGAATCAACTCAACAGCACACAACAATATATGAGGGAGATACTACCATCACTCTCATTTTATAGATGTAAAAGCTAAGGCATAGAGTGGTTAAGTAACTTGCTCAAGGTTTTGTAGCTAGTAAATAGCAAGCCAAAATTCAAACCAGGCAATCTGGCACCAGAATCCATGCTTCTGATCCCTACATTATCCTGACTTTACATGAGGCACATACCAATAACTCTATTTTGTTGTTATGTGCCATCGAGTCGGACCGACTCATAGCAACCCCTCCTTGGGTTTCTGAGGCAGTATCACTACGGAAGTGATTTTACAGAGACAGAAACTGAGGCAAATAAGTATTTACTTGCCCCAATTCACATAACTACTAAGACCAGAATTTAAGCCCAGGGAAGTAGATTGCCCAACCTTTCTTCTGAGGAGTGGCTGGGATTTGAACCACCAGCCTTCTTGTTAGCAGTCAAATACCTTAGGCACTACACCACCAGTGCTCCCAGGGTCATCTGACCACTAAGCAATTGTTACTAATCTTTACACTATACTGCCTAACATTTTCTTATCCCAAAATGTATGTCTCACCTTAGCTCCTTTGTCCACTCACTTTCTCAGGGCTAATCAAATCCAGGGGGACAGTGAGAGTTCCAAAACAGTCAAGGCTCCCTGGGTTGAGATATCTGAGTGTAGTCCAGTACAGGGAATCTGGGCAGCTGAGAGGGCATCACTAAGGCACTGGGCCGATGCAGAATGAGCAACAAAACACAAGGCCAAAGTTGTTTTTCTTACCACACACAACCCCTCATTCCTCAAACATCACAGTGGATGTAAGGATGGTCAGCATGATTTGGAACAAGGACCTTAACACATTGTTAGATGTAGAACTTGTTGAGTCAATTAATTCAGTATCTGAGAAAAGGAGATCTTTTACTGACCTGAATGGTTTTGGATCTGGAAAGGGAGAACTGGGGAATAGTAAGACAGAATCTAGGTAATTTATGGCAATGTACATACATACATATACAAATTAATTAAAACTCAAAGTCAAAACAGAACTAAAGAGAAAATACAAGGTAATGCTGAGTAAAACAGGATGTTCAGTTCTGGGGAACTGAATGAAAGAGCTACAAAGCCAAGCTACACAGTAGCAGAATCCAGATAGACAGTGACAAAGTGAGTTGAGCCTCAAAGTGTTCTGCTCACTGCCCAAGAAGTAAAAGATGGTTCTTTTCTAAGGGTTCAACCAAAAGGAGGGGCCCAGGCCTGGCCTTGACAGGACCTGGCTAGTCCAGCTGCATCAGTTCTGTTCTAGATTTTTTTATTATTATTATTTTCTATCAACTTCTATTCAACAATTCTTCCCTCTCACTGAGATGAGTCATTTTACTGCTACCAACTGTATGTGAGGGTTGAGTACCTATCCCTGGATCTTCTTGTTTTCAAGTAAAGTTTAGTGTGAATTTTGAACAGAATTTATCTATAATCGATCTATAAAACATTTGGTAGAACCAAGAAAGAAGAGCAAGTCCACGAAGCCAACAGAGTAATATTTGAAAGAGAAGTCACACCATTCTGTGAACTTTCAGGACAGAGGTCCATGTGTGGTTCCCCTGAAAGAGCAGCACGACTTGGGGAATCAAAACACATATTTTCAGGCCTCTGCATCGGAAACTCAAGGGCCCAGAAATCTGTGTTGAAAAACCTCTAGGTGATTATGATGCTGCTGAAGTTTGAAAATAACTGTTCTAGGAAAAAGATTCTTGACAGTTCATAGTCCATTAGAATCATCTAGGGATATATATATATACAGAGAGAGACAACAAAGAGAGACAGAGACTCAGAGACAGACAGCAAGAGACAGAGACAGAAAGAGAGAAACTTGTCATTGCATTGACTCTGACTCTGACTCACTGCGGCACTAAGTACAACAGAATGAAATGTTGCCCAGTCCTGCACCATTCTATTACTGGCATATCCAATGGACACCAGCATGTCCATGTTCAAGTCTAATCAACCTCATTGGCCCTCTACTTCACCAAACTGTTATGTTCCTCCAGCAATTGATCCCGCCTGATGATTTGTCCAAAGCAAACAAATGGGACAATGTTTTGTTGTAATCTGTAGTTTTCATTCGACAGTACATAACAACAACAACAGCCTTTCTTTGTAGTCTGTCTTAGCCTGGAACTGCCAAAACCTGTCCACCATTGGTGACCCTACTGATACTTGAAATACTCACTGTCATCGAGTCAGATCCAACTCATAGTGACCCCTCCTTGGGTTTCCAAGGCAGATCACTATGGAAGCAGACTGCCCAACCTTCCTTCTGAGGAGTGGTCAGTGGCATAATATCCAGTACCGTAGCACACGAGCTACCACAGTACAGCAAACTGGAGAAGTGTATATGTGTGTATCAGGTACATTGAGGTATGATTTACATACAGTA